CTATCCTGCTCCATCCTGTCTGGGATGGGAATCATCCTCTGTCCAGAGGCATCCCACGCACTGTCACAGTACTGCAGTGCTTGTGTTCAAGTCAGCCTTATTTTACTTAATAATGGTCCTCACATCTAAGAATAGTGATGCTGGAAGCTCTGCCAAAGAGGAGCCATAAAGGACTTCCTTTAAGTGAAAAGGTGAAAATTCTCAATAAGAAAAAAATGCGTAAGCTAAGACCTATGGTCAGAACGGATCTCCTATTCATGAAATTATGAAGAAGGAAAAAGAAATTGATGTTAGTTTTGCTATCACACCTCAAACTGCAAAAGTTATGGGCACAGTGCTTGGTAACTGCTTAGTTAAGATGGAAAAGGCATTAAATTGCTACCATAAGCTCCTGAGTGAAAGAGACCACAGTCACATATCTTTTATTATAATACATTGTTATAAATGTTCTATTTTATTTTATTATTAGTCATTGTTGCTAATCTTTTACTGTGCCTAATTCACAAATTAAACTTTATCACCGGTGTATGTGTATATGAAAAAACATAGTATATATGGGTTTGGTACTATCCATGGCTTCAGTCATCCACTAGGGGTCTTGGAACATAATCCCTGTGGATAAGGGGGGACTTCTGTATTAAAATATTGTATTTCTTCTTTGTAAAGAAGAAAATAAAAATTGAGCCCCTTTATTCATGTAAGCTCTTTTAGCATTTAAAAGTAAGATATAATAAAAATATAAGGCTAGAAAATTATAACTACAGAAAGTACAAAATGAAAAGTGAAAGCTTTTATCTCCCCACTCCTATTCCCAAAACATAAACAGTGCCAGTATTTGCTTTCCTGTGATTTGTTCCAGAAAGCAACAGAGGGAGCAGGAGGCCAGACACAGTATGTGTGCACACACATGTAGATCTGTGCCACACGTATACACAAAACGCAACAGGAATCATTACTGTTCTGTATCTTACTTTTTCCACGTAATAATACACCACATATTGACACATCAACCTACCTCACTTTTCAATGGCAAACTGTTTCTATAGTATGTATTATTATTTATTTAACTATTTTATTGATGAATACTTAGAATGTACCATATTTTAAATTACTACAAACAATGCTGATAGATAACCTCCAAATTATTTTTAAAATCTAAATTATCTGGTATAACTAAGAGTAGAGAAAGTTTGCCACACAAGAATAAAGTTTTTGCAGGAACATATGCTAAACCAATATGTGGAACAGCCAAAATTAATATTTTTTTAAAAAAAAAAAACTGGCTATATGATACATGGAAAGAGCTGAATAATGTGGAAACATCCTATATGCTTCAGTTAAACATCTATGACATTAAATAGTATGGTAACTTTATACATCTTGATACACAGCTGTGACAGTAAAAACGTGTGTGAAGCCTTTAGTACTACTCAAAAGTCTGATAACAAAAATGCTAGATTCAATTACAAATAAGAAGTGACTAAACCTTTGGCCACACAAGAAATTTTGATACTGATTTCTCAAAGTTGAAAAGTGAATCTGGTGGTGACTGGTTTTGCGTGTGTGTGAGTGTGTGTGTGTGTTATCTAAGTGAACATCAGTTTAGAAACTGACTTCTTTTTAAAAAGATAAAGAGAAACCCACAAAATGTCCTACCTTGATGTTCATCATCCTCCTTTGGTGTTTGTTCCAACAACGTGTCCAACGCTCGGGTATAATCTTTCATTACCCAGTAGGCAAGACTACGCAGGAAGGGATCAGGATGTAACCGCCTGCAATCAAACCCTGAGCCATTCTTTTGGCAACCCAAAATCTTCTGATTGAGGATGGATATATAAGTGGATGAAGTCTCAAAATCAGATTCATATAAACGGGCAATAACCATGGCTAGCTGGATATCTTCCATTTTTTCAAGACATACCTGCAAGTTTAAATATGAAGAAATATTTATTTAGAAATACGAAATGTCTCACTGATATCCTTAAACTATCTACCATTTATATTCCCACAGTGGAGGGAAGAGGTCCAGAGGTTGAGGCAGTGAAGGGTAATTAAATGACTGCTTGACAGGAGATTGAGGAATAGCAAGAAGATTAAGGAACTACAACTTCTTAGCTTCCAGCCTAGAAAGATCATTTATAAAATAAGCATAAAACAAAGTCTATCAACACCATCTCAGACTTAGATCAATTTAAATTAATAACATTCACTTTTTAAAGTAAATACCACTTAGAACATTTGAATTCATATATCAGTTCCTCTTAATTGCCAGACATATTTCCATATAAACATAATTATTACTACTTTAAAAGAATCTTCTATTTACATAACAAATAACTTGAGACATAAAGCCACATACTCTATTTTTACTCTCTGTGTTTATATTCTCGTGTAACAACTCATCTTGAGAATTTGAGGTCATTCAGGCAATATGAGCATCTCTCAGTCAAGCAACATTTCTATTCTTTGCCTGAGTATTTTCTAGGCTAAACTTTCCATTTCAAAATTATAAACATTTGTTATTTTAAAAAAATCACACATCTGATGTGATGTAATTTTGAAAATATCACTAATTCTAAACATAAAGTAATTTCATTTGGTTGGATGGTTCCTATTTCTTCTATCATGTATCATTTCCAATTCTATTTTCCCTCCACCTATTTGGATTGCTCATTGTAAGCATCCTAAAAGGAAGATCTCATAAATAAACAGAAATATTTGTAATTATTCTCTTAATTAGCTACCAGAATTATATCAAAAAAATGCAGTTTTACCTCTTCACATTCGTTTTCCAACATCTAAGACAACTCTACATTACAAAACAGTACAAAATGCAATTTCAGTTCATTATCTGTGATACAAGATATCACACTTGCCTGCCTACACCAGAATAAAGAGGTCATATATAAATAGTTCAGAATTACAACTTGACCAGGAAGAAAATATTTATAAACCATTTTTGCCATTTTTTCATACATTTATACTTGAAATGTATATGCTTATCTTGAAATGCAAAATTCTCTATATAAAATTTTTCATTTACATTTTTCACTTGAATTTATTTACAACTTAATTTATCACAGTGCAACTACTTAAGTTCAGTAACCTCTGCAGTTATTCTCCAGTCTTCATCCTTACAAACATATGACAAAAATTATAACCTCCTCTTCGACCTTTCCAGGATTTCAAGCTCTTATAAGCATTTCATAGCATGTTTTCTTATTTATACCTCAATGGCATCTTTCAGGGAACCAGCTAACAAGAAAAAAGCAGCAGACTGTTCAAAGCGTTGTTTCCCAAGTAAAGAGAAGGCATTTTTCAAAGCGGCTTTACGCCATCGATCTTCATTAAAGTTGTGGCTGAAAAATGTTGTCATTTTCTCATCATGCTGGGACCTGGGAACCAGAGCACACACATCAGTGGTTAAACCAAATTTAAAATATTTTGAATCCTTTACAGAATACAGGAAAATAGAAAATAAAAACCTCAAACACCCATTAAAAGAACAATAATAACTTTAGTGATAGGTATTGGTTATCAAGCTTCACTTCTCCTAATAAGGAGAAAACACAAAATACCTTATGTATACAAAGATAGGAAGCAAGAGCATTTTTTACTTTCCAAAGTGCGTTTATCAACTTATTTTCAACAATATCCCACTCTTTAGGTTAAGCTGAAACGATATGGTGCCTATTTTTTGACAGATAAAGAAACCAAAGCACAAAAAAGGAAACTGATTTGATCAAGCTCATTATTTCTAAACACTTTCAAAAGCATTACGTTTCTGAGTCACAGCACAATCTTCACTCCATTAAATCATATTAGGTGCTGAGACAGTTTACCTGAACAGACCCCACACTACGGCTTTCTTCTTCATTGAAAGGTAGAACAATGCAGCATCCAAGGCATCATTGTTCCTTTGAAAAGCAGCTTTGGCGACCTACGTGGTAAATTAAAAATTATATTAAATTAACTATTTGGTAAGAGAATCACCACAATTAATACTTCCCTGCTACTGCCATGGCTGACGGAAACTATGAAGATAGGGAGAGTTGACCCTACTCCACAGTCTCCAGTAGCTTATAATACATGCTCTAGAGACAACCCTTTGCATACCAGTAATTATAATTAAAATAATAACAGCAACTAGTATTTATTGACTACTTACCACGAACAGGCACCAGTCTAAGTACCTTTTATTCATCTTATTGAATCACCACAATCCATGAGGTACCCTTATTAACCCCATTTGAGGCAACTAAGGCACAGAGACGTTAACTGAATTGCCTAAGGTCCCATAGTAAGGGCTGCAAAAGGGAGTAGAACCCAGGTAGTAATAAAACTGCCTAACATAGGAAACTAAATAAAGAATACAGAATATTCAATGAATGAGAACTTTATCTCAAAAATTAAGCATATTACATTTCTTAATGTTCTGTAAAGGTTAAACTGAGACTTCTGTGGTAGGTATATGTGATTTCACAAGTTAAGGCTCCCTCAACTAACACTAATATGACATCTGTGAATAAATACCTATTATACACACGCATGCACACACACATTTTTAAAACTACAGAGAAAAAACAAATGTTCTAGTTTTTTTTGAAAAACATAATTTTGTTTAAAACATACTTTTATGGCATTTTTCAATCAAATTCTGACAGTTCTGAAGGACTGACACACTCTTTCTGGCACATAATTAAAATAAAGAAGGCTGGAGCACTGTTATTTGAAGGGCTTTCAAATTTTAGTTCTTAGAAATTTCATGAGAAAAGGTCTTAATGAGTACAGGGTTCTCCATGTATCATAACTCATAACTTCCTTTGTGCCATATGACCAAAGTTGCTGAATTTATACAGAATCAATCAATTCAGTGTAAGCTGAAAAATTATTAAGCCCGTAACATTACTGTACATAACCATATTGTTTTGAACACAGTACCATACAGACTATGTATTTCTCAAAGATACTGAGATAACCACTACAAATCACTAAGTTGAGAGGCATAACAATAAAAAATAATCGATGTTTTTTTAGCTCCCTGGCTTATGGTGGAGCAGGAAGCTTCCAAGGCATGGGAGAGAGGAGGAAAGGTATCTAAAAATTACATCACGAAAAAGTTTCACTCTCAATGCTCCCTTATTTCTCTTCCCTTTTTTAGTATTTTCTCTGCCTTTGATCATTTAACTTAGTATCTCAACATTTAATAATTTTTACAGGAATTTTTATTCATCTTTAGTTAATCATTTATAATATATATCTCAAGGGGAAATTTTTTTACATGTCCTTTTGATTCAATTTTAAGAGATAAATTACTTGTGGAAATACATCATATGTATATATCAGAAATACTCAATTATAATGATACAAACACATTGTTGACAAGAAACTAGAGACTTTGTAGGCAACACCCAAACATTTCTGATAAAACACGTCCTCTTTTCCCACTGCTTTGGGATATAAAAAAAATTTAATGTAGATACTATGCTATTTATATGCTATAACAATTAACTTTCCCTACACCCTAGAAACTACTTTTTTGATTGGTGTGAGGACAAATCCCTTCTTATATCTGTGCTTCTTTGGAGAAGAGAAATGCTGGCTGCCTTACATGTAGCAGGAAAACGATACTCCCACACTCACCTTTCAAACTGTGATCTGAGGACCATGAACCCCAGAATCACAGGATGCTAATGAAGATGAACATGCCACAGCCCTAACATCCCCAGCCTACAACGTGAAAACCTCTGGGAGTGGGCTGAGGGATATGTGTTTTAAACACATTTGCCAGGTGATTCTTCTGACACTAAAATTTGAGAACTACTGTTGCAGGGGAGTAACTTCATCCTGAGAGAAATGAATTCATACTCTACAATGGTATCCGTCAGTGTAGTTTCACTAATCGTATTTCTGAGAATTTCAATGGACTCATAAAAGTAAACAACGAATGACAATTCCACTTTCCTAGCCATGCAGAGTAGAAAGGGCACAGACTAAATCTAACACTTTTAAATGATGGGAGTTTGGGCTGGTTACCTAACCTCTCCAAGTCTTAGTTCCATCAGGTTAAAATAGAGATGGTAACATGTGGCTTATGAAAAGATTATATGAAATAATTTATGAAAATCAATTAGCACCAAACCTGCTATACAAAAGCTGTTCAATAACAATTAGTTTCTGAAACACTGAAAGAATATTCAGCGTCCACTAAATTTTTTTTTTCTAAAGGGACTCTGCCAGAAAACTAACTCCAAAAATCCAACTTAAAATGTACTGCATGTTTCATTTGCTGTCATAGATGTTTTCTTCAAGTGCACACAAATCATAATTTTTTTATTGAATGGTATTTTAAATATGCAAAGGAAGTTTGCTATTTATTAACCTAGCCATGCAGAGAATCTTTTATATAAAAAGAATGCTTTTTCTATGTCGTGTATGTAGATGACAAGAACTTATGTCAACTTTCTAAATTCAGATGTTTATATTTTTTTAAACTAGGACACACCTCAACTAGTAGCAGAAAACACTGCTATTCTAGAAACATTATACACAGCATATATGGCAACAGACAATTAATATACTGCATGGATGTCTGATAAAAGTCAAGTTTTTGAAATCTCTAAAAATTTTTATTTAAGAAATTCTCAAGACTTCAGGATGTACATACTAACCCCCTACTACAGGTTTCCTGGAAGACAGTATCTTCTATACTTTAAGAAAAGACTTTTTTAAAAACTTCAAAATCCAATGACTTAAAGTTACCTTTTCGATGCATCTTCTAAGAGTGTTAATATTCCTGACCCACCATCCTATCCCCATAGCTCTTAACTCAGACCACTGAGGGTCCCCTCTCTGAATTGCTGGAATCATATTAATCAACTCTTCTTCGGCCTCAGAATGAAAAGCCCAGGCAAAATGACAAGTAGATACACCTAAATAAGAAATACCAAAATAACAAGCTTCAGAACTAATAAAAAATTTTTTTCACATACTCACATATTTATTCATTCAGCAAAAAATTTTCAAACAGAAAAAAATGATAAAAGAATTTCATCATTCAGGATTTCATAATATAAAATTCTAAATACAAGACCATTAAAAGGATACACAAATCCAAAATATCTTTTTCCCAAATGTATTTTCTTTTTCCCCCCGCAAAAACAGACACACTGAAACTAAATCATTAGAAAGAAAGATATTTGAATATCAAGCCACTCATACGTATGTACACACCCCAAACTTATCAACAGTGAAAGCTCCGGTCCCGTTCAAGTATCTTGGCCTGTGTACGTGGGTGCTGTTTGACAGTGCCACTTGCTTGCAGACCATGTGCTTCAGTACTGGACACTGCTCTGGCCAAAGAGCTACATGTCACTTCAAAGCAAGCTCTAAACTGGAGAGTTCCCTCTACCTTCAGTGCCTTGGTTAAAAAGACTTTAAAACTCTTTTTGGTATATGGCAAACTCTTTCTTGTCACGGTAAAAGACTGACAGAGATCTACGCTGTATTTAGAGGCAACAAAATGGGGTTCAGCAACACTCTCCATGAGTTTATCCATAGTTGAACCACTGACAACACTTTACTCCACTTGGAGCAGGTGAAGAGGAAACATAAGAGAAGTGAACCACGTGGAGTGATGTCAGACAGTGGGAATGCTGCTGGGAAGAACCCAGCGCATCCCAGGACAGAAGCCAGGCTAGCTGAAGGAACCATCTAAATGAACCTTTTGGAAACAAAGAAATGTCTGAGGCCAATGTTCTGACAGTCACATTACAACACAGGACTCTCAGTGCTATAAGAACATCAATATTACCACATGTGATTTTTTTCATTAACAACTACTATATAGATTTCCCATATAGTTTAAAACTTTTCTAACAATTACTGCTTCCCAACAGTTCCTTTAGAAAGTATAAAAAACTATTACAACCATTTTGAATAATAATCTTAAATCTTTTAAATTCCCCATTGCTAACATTTATATACAATGTGTTTGAAATCTTATCACAAAATCGATGTAACATGTCTTAACTGTCACTATAAATTTAGGGGGAAAATGGAAAAAATTTAATAACGTCAATTTGTATTTTTTCAGAATCTAAAAAGTAGATTCATTTTCTCACTATGTAAGTCTCTGATTTAAGAAAAAACTGCTACTTGAAATAATTACAAAAAAACTGATGCTTTGCTTTAGAAATTGCTATTATATGGCAATGCAAAATGCACTTTTGCTGATATGAAATTTTTATTATAAAATAACAATATAAAATATACTATATTCTAAACCCTTAAATGAATTTTTTAAACTGAAGTATAGTTAGTTTACAATGTTGTGTCAATTTCTGCTGTACAGCACAATGTTTCAGCCATACATGTGACATTTTTTAATTGAAGTATAGTTGACTTACAATGTTGTGTTATGAAATTTGACTAATTAAATTTTGGCGTGATTAAAAGGAAACAAAAAAACAGATAGGCTTGTCAGGGGAATGCGGTTAAGAAAGAAGATTAAGAGAGCAGCGAATATTTGTAAACCTAACTATTAGAGGTGAAAAGGCATTAGGAAGAAGGAAAAAAATAGGGGCAACAACAGGCATTTATTTTCACTTGCCTTCCAACGGCAGACTATTCTTTGTAATCAATCTTTGCTCTTCTCAGCTTGTCTATCTATATGCTAGCTACTTAAGTTTTTCCCTAAAAAATGTTCCCAGGACCATCACCTACAAGATCAGTCACTTTTCTCAGCTCCAGTGTTTTAACTATATCATAGGGAAAATGGAATTTGACAAAGCTTATAAATTTGAGGTGTTTTGGACCTCCCTAGACAATATAGACAATTGTCATTAAGTGATTCAGTACCATCTGACCATTATTTAAATCTAAAATTTGAAAGAACTTGAAGATACCATTTTTAACCTTTTCCAAAAGGCACAGATCATTTAAAACAATGAGTTGAGTTTTGGCATCATCAAACTTTGGTTTTGGGAATGTAAATGAGCAGTCTTTCTGAAGGTAGCAACACTTATCAAGAAGAATTTTCAAGATACATGCACTCCAATGTTCATAGCAGCACTATTTTCAATAGCCAAGACATGGAAACAACCTAAATGTCCATCCACAGATGACTGGATAAAGAAGATGTGGAATACTACTCAGCCATAAAAAAGAACAAAATAATGCCATTTGCTGCAACATAGATGGACCTGGAGATCGTCATTCTAAGTGAAGCCAGAAAGAGAAAGAAAAATACCATATGATATTACTTATAGACACAAGTGAACTTATTTACAAAATAGAAACAGACTCACAGACATAGAAAACAAACTTACAGTTACCAGGCGGGGAAGGAGGTAGGAAGCGATAAACTCAGGATTCAAGATTTACAGATACTTACTAGTATATATAAAATACATAAACAAGTTTCTGTATAGCATAGGGAACTGTATTCAATATCTTATAGTAACCAATAATGAAAAAGAATATGAAAATGAATATATGTATGAATATGTATGACTGAAACATTGTGCTATACACCAGAAATTGACAACACTGTAAACTATACTTCAGTAAAAAAATTTTACTCTCTTAAGAGTTAAGAATTCTCAAGCCCTTTGATTCAGTAATTTCATTACTAGAAAATTAATAGGAGGAAATAATCAGATACATAAACATTTTTATATGCAAGGTTATAAAGTCATTCATTAACAATGACAATTCAAATGGGAAAAAATCTCAGCAAAAGTTATATTTTTAGAAAAAATAAAGGGCTGGTTAGATGAAATATACTTTAAAAACATGACAGAATAGTAGACAGCAGTTTAGAATCATATTTTCAAAGAACAAGCCTTTGTCAGTTTCATCGTTTGCAAAAATTTTCTCCCATTCCATAGGTTGTCATTTTGTTTTACTTATGGTTTCCTTTGCTGTGCAGAAGCTTGTAAGTTTAAGTCCCATTTGTTTATTCTTGCTTTTATTTCTATTGCTTGGGTAGACTGCCCTAGAACATTTTTGAGATGTATATGAGATAATGTTTCGCCTGTTCTCCTCTAGGAGGTTTATTGTCTCTTGTCTTATGTTTAAGTCTTTGATCCATTTTTGAATTTACTTTTGTGTATGGTGTAAGGGAGTGTTCTAGCTTCATTGATTTACATGCTGCTGTCCAGTTTTCCCAACACCATTTGCTAAAGAGACTGTCTTTATTCCATTGTGTATTCTTGCCTCCTTTGTCGAAGATTAGTTGACCAAAAGTTTGTGGGTTCATTTCTGGGCTCTCTATTCTGTTCCATTGGTCTATATGTCTGTTTTTGTAACAATACCATGCTGTCTTGATGACTGTAGCTCTATAGTATTGTCTGAAGTCTGGGAGAGTTATTCCTCCAGCCTCTTTCTTTTTCTTCAGTAATGCTTTGGCAATTCTAGGTCTTCTGTGGTTCCATACACATTTTATTATGATTTGTTCTAGTTCTGTGAAATGTGTCCTGGGTGATTTGATAGGGATTGCAATAAATCTGTAGATTGCCTAGGGCAGTATGACCATTTTAACAATATTGATTCTTCCAATCCAGGAACGTGGAATATCTTTTCATTTTTTTAAAGTCTTCTTAATTTCCTTCATCAATGGTTTATAGTTTTCCATGTATAAGTCTTTCACCTCCTTGGTTAGATTTATTCCTAGGCATTTTATTACTTTGGGTGCTATTTTAAAGGGGATTGTTTCTTTACTTTCTTTTTCTGTTGATTCCTCATTAGTGTAAAGAAATGCAACTGATTTTTGAACGTTAATCTTGTAACCTGCTACCTTGCTGAATTCTTTGATTAGTGCTAGTAGTTTTTGTGTGGACCTTTTAGGGTTTTCTATATATAGTGGAACATTTACTGAGGGTAAAGGGTAGGTGCTATGGGTAAGAATAATAAACTATAAAGCCGAGTACTGTATACCCTACAACACTAAAGCATATTTTGTGGGGCTGTGTCCAGGATGCTGGTTTCAAAAGGAACACAGCCCTGTAAAAACTGCACTGGACTGGGATTCTAATTCCAACTCTATTAATAAACAGCCATATATCTTGGGTAGGTCACTTCTTAAAAAAAAAATTTTTGTTCTTTTTTTAGGGAAGGGGGAGGGTAATTAGGTTTATTTATTTATTTAACTGAGGATTGAACCCAGGACCCCGTGCATGCTAAGCACGTATTCTACCACTGAGCTGTACCCTCCCCTCCTAGACAGGTCACTTTAAACACTATAGTTTTGATTTTTTAACCTATAAGTTAGGGGGCTGATATAAAGCTATATATCTCAAATCAGGGTTCGTGGCAGTGTGCTAGAGGTATGCCAGTCTACTGGCGGACCATATGGCAGACAGTCCTGAAACATCAGCTTTACTTATGAGTAAGTAATTTGGAACATAATGCTTCTGTTAAAAACAAACACAGTAAT